ACTATGTTAGTAAGCTATCGTACGATTCTTACAGCACTCAGGCTGACCGTCACTTGCCGAATCAGTCTGACAAGCTCTTCGAGGAGAAGGGCTTCCGAGGGTGATCAGGGAAGCTGCTGCAACGGAGTTTCAAGTGTCCTCGAGCGACGTGGACTTTGAGCATGGTGCTTATGAGGTGGCCGCAGCTGTGGGATTCTTGGAAGGCGGCGCAGCGACAAGCGGAGAAGGCCGCGGAATCGACGCCTGTGGGCGAGGGACTTGCTGCTTTTCTTTCTGAAAATCCAATTTGCTACTAGCGAAGAAGCTGCAACCCCTGTGCCGGCATTTGCAAGGTTTTCTGGTGTGTTGGCAAGGCTGACAGAGGCCGCCCGATTTGGCCTGCGTCATGACCCGTGGCATGCACCCAGGCAACAGAGCAAGTCGAATCTTAAGACCTCTAAGAAATGCATTCTCAGATATATTGGGTTTAGGGCTTAGGGTTTGTAAGTCTGGGGCACCAGGCGACGACAGCATTTGCAAGCAAAGCTGATGCGCTCGCTCGTGGCCTGTCGTCTCTTACTCGTTCTCCTTCCAACTTTCGTTGTTTTAGATTAAACATGCCTGAGCCCCAGGAAATGAAAACTCCATTGCCCGACATAAGCCCCCTGATGGTACTTTGTTTTTGCCAGCCAGGCAAGAAACGGCCAGCACCGACGAGCGCCTTCAAAAGGACAAATAAAAAGCCGAAGCAACAAGACGCGTCCTGCTTAGAAGTCATTAGGCATGGACAAGGGCAAGTTAGGGGACGACCAAACTGCCTCAATCGAGGAATGGTTGGTGTCATTCCAGGGCTCCTGATACTTACTTTGTGACGCTAGCAGGGTCCTGACAGGGCCACACCGCAGCAGCCGATCACGCAGGGCAAGCAGCCCACAAGAGCTGACGCTCCGAGCCGGAGAGTGGCAGAAGCGGCAGAAGCGGAGAGACTGCACAAGTCCACAATCGGAAGGATTCCAGTGCCAAGCTGCAGCAGACCGCAATACAAGCCACCTGAGACGAGGACTTGGGAAAGGGAGCCACTGTGATGTGCTAGCACCTATGCTTGGGAGGATGCACTGCAATCCACCACAAGGCAGCGGCTGTGCCTCAGTCCCTCGACGGCGCCAGGCAGCATCTGAAAGTCGGCTGAGCTAGGTAGGGTAGGGTAGGGTAGGGTAAGGTAGGGTAGGCACTAGGCACCCAAAGAGAAGCGGTCGGAAAAAAACATGATTCCGAGCTCATACCTTAATCGAGTGATGGTTGGCATCATGATAGGGCTCCTGATACTGCCCTTGGATCACGCATGGCAAGCAACCCACAAAAACGGACGGTCCGAGTCGGACAGTGGCAGAAGCGGGGCGACTGCACAAGTCCACAATCCAAAGCATTCCAATGCCAAGCTGTAGCAAGCCACGATACAAGACACTTGAGACCAGGACTTGTGAAAAGGAAGCACTGTGAAAGCAAGGGCCACAGGACGTGCCCGGCATCCATGCTGGACCCGAGGCACTGTAATCCACCATGAAGCAGCTGCTGGCCCCGCGATATCGCGAGACAAAATCTGCAAGTCGGCTGAGCTAGGCACGCAACAACGGCAGCTTCAATGGACGAACTGACGAGACGACAAGTCCCGCACGCAACACCGAGCTGGCTCTCAACAAATTGCAGAGTCTCAGCATTGGGAGAGCTGGGCACAATCAGAACCGCAGCGTAGGGCATGTGCCAACCTGCTCAGACGTACTTCGCGAAGCTCGGACCGTCCTGTGCACTCTCGAATGAGGCGGCTGACATGCAGGAGATCACGGCAGTGCACCGCAGCACTCATAGGGCTCAATGTGTATAGGGTCTGTGGATCATAGGAGATAATGCAGCTGAGTTCATCTTGGACAGAAGGCCCTCACTGATGGCCAACCTGCATCGACACGGCACAGAGCCTGTGCGCCGTCGATGAGGCTCTCAAAAATTTGCGGAGTCTCAGCATTGGGAGAGCTGGGAACAACGAGAACTGCAGCGCAGGGCATGTGTTCAACTGCTCAGGCATACTTCGCAAAGCTCGGACCGTCCGGCAAGCTCTCGAATGAGGCGGCTGACATGCAGCCGTTCACAATAGTGCATCAGTGCATCTTAGGGCTTATAGGGCTACATGTTTGTAGGGAGTGCGGGGGAATAGCGTATCATGTCACCTGAACTCATCTTAGACCGACGCCGATGATTCATGGCCAACCCTGCACCCCAACGGCGCAGAATCTAGGGCCTGCGCCATGTTTCTCAGGGCCGGCGAGGCATGCAAAGACAGGAGTTCGGCCTACAAGTCTGCCATCAGCCAGCTCTCAAACCTCTGCGGCATTCACTGCCGATCCGCATGCGAAACAAACACTGCCGGCCTGCACATCCCAGACAACTCTGCGAGGCATCTCGAGAACACTTGCAAGGCTGGTTTCCAGCGACTGCCCCTCCTTAGGTCCTTCCATGTCCTTCCCGGCATGGATCCAGCATAAAAGCCCTCATTGGGAACTGCTTTCGGTCCCTGTCCCCGGCTAGCTCGGCCAAGGCACTCCAATGCATGTCGATTCACAGAGATTCTTTGGATCTCGTGCATAGTCGAGCGCGCAAGCCTCGGACAGCCATGACGAGCTCCAGCTGGTCGCTGGCGGGTCCGCCGAGCTTCAAACCCCGGCGTTGGTAGGAAGCGAAGTGGTGCATCCCGAAGTGACTCACTTCCGCAGTGGCGGACATGACGTGAACCGCGCAGATCTAAACAGCTTCGAGAAGAGGTCCAAGCAAAACTAAGCTTCTGGCATCATTGGCACAACCAAGGCTTCAGTCGTGCCTTTAGCCGCCGTTTGGAAGCATGCCCAGAAGCTCCTCAGCATCCAGATTTTGTAGCTAGAACCAAAGAGTGAGTGATTTTAATGCAAGACAAGGGCGCACTAAGACCACAAACTACGACAGGAGGGGCCTGGACAGTTTCAACAGATTTTATTGGGGGTGTATTGTAAGCAAGAGAAAAGGAAGATTTAGAATAGGGTCTCTTTGGGCATATCAGCAGTAACGTACGATGCATGTTTCAACAAACCCTCAGAAATTCTTTGCCAACGATTCAGCCCCTTGGTACATCATATGGGTGGCTGTCAAAATCCGCCGAGGCCTCGGGCCGAAGGTGTTTAGGTTGTGAGAAGGCACCCCCTCCAAATCCTCCCAAAGCCAGACGGCCCCCTTTTTTTGCCTGGAATGGGTACCCCTGCAGGCGACCAGGATCTGAAAGCGGACGGTTCGCCAGGACCAGGGGCAGTTGAACCCTGCCAGCCCTTGCGCCCCACCCTGCCCCCCCTTGCCTTTTGCAACTGGTGTGAGCATTAGGTTACGAATCTTGTCCAAGCCGAACCGTCTAAACCCTGAACCTTGAACCTTGAACCTTGAACTCTAAACGCAAAAACCCTAAACCCCAAACCATAAACCTCGAGCCCTAAGCCCTCAACCCTAAACCCTAAACCCGGAACCCTAAACCCTAAACCCTATACCCTTAAGCCTAAACCCTAAACCCTAAACCCTAAACCCTAAACCCTAAACCCTAAACCCTAAACCTTAAACCCTAAACCCTAAACCCTAAACCCAACCCTTTTGCTTGGGGTCCAGCGACTTGGGCGCTGCGCAGAATCACCATGCTCACGCGGATGCGCTGGGCCGGGCCGAGGCGGGTCGCGTAGCGTTAAAATCATGGTCCCTTTTTGGACCCCAATTAGAATACGGCACCTAATATTTAGGGTACCCCAAGAGGGATCATTATTTTGACAACCACCCATAGAGTAAGGGAACCCTGGAACACAAGGGCCCATCATGTTCGAATCGAACAGCCAAGCGCCCACATGCACCAACAAACCTCCGCCTCGGTGGAACCCTACAAAATCAAAGGATGTAGGAGTTAGGGTTTAGGGTTTAGCAGGGCCTATGGATGATTGGGACCTTTTGCCATGAAGACTGCAAACCTGTAAAGGTGTGAGAAGGGTTTCGGGTTTCGGGTAAATTTCGGGTCAAGGATATACGTTCACTGAAGCCCATTCTTATAAGACGTCAACCGTACCCAGCCCCATGTAACGCGGCGGGGCATCTCGCAGCAATAGCCACTTGTGCAGCTGCCATCATCGGCTGGGACTGACCGCCGAAGAAGTCTAGCGATCAATGCTTACCCTGATGGAATGTTCCTGAGCACGCTACAATGATCTTCACCACATCATCTGACCCATGTTGGCTCAATTTATTCACAGTCATAGTCTTTTTTTTATCGGGCAGGCGTTGGAAGCCACACATATGTCGAGAACCCGTGCATGTCTCGTTTTGCCGAGTTGTATTCGAGCTGGGGCTCTTGAATACTGTGGGTTAACCTTGTTCATAGTCTTACAAAGTATCTGGCATTAGGCATGTGCGACACGTGGCCAATGTCGCGACCACCAGTTGACACTCCTGTGAACAAAGCCTTCAGCACCGGTAATGACATGGTCTGATCGTATGCTTGCCACCGTCAGAGATGTTCAGAAGCCATCGCAAGCAAACTACACACGATGGTGTGCCGTGGTGGTTGATGTCACGCTGCGCTGTTAAACAATGGCGATCCCAACGCTAACATATCAAGCTCACAATTGATGCCTGCGGCTCCCTGCAGAATTCTTCTGTGAAGCCAGCGGGCAAAACAAGCTACCACGTAAAGTAGCGGGGCCATCAGAGGATTTCCAAACACATCGAAAGCTGCGTTGTGTCATCCGTTATCGCTGAGGATTGCAAATCCACTGGCTCGCTTCATTAATCGTCGTAGGACTTTCGCCTCTCGAGTCGGGGCAAATCGTCACAGAACGCATCTCAACAAGCATACTACTCATAATCTAGGATCATGCTAACGCTATGAAAATACAAAAAACGTTAATCAGATTTAAAATTAGTCATATGTATGATAGCGATAGTTTCTACTCTCCGGCTGCTTTCCGGCCTCAAGCTTTAAAGAGTTCCGCTTCCAAGTCGTCCAGCCTTGCAGCTGGGGCGCTAGGTTTGAGTGAGTGAGAGTGAGAGAGAGAGAGAGAGAGAGAGAGAGAGAGAGAGAGAGCGAGAGAGAGCGAGACAGACAGAGAGAGAGAGAGAGAGAGGGAGGGAGAGGGAGAGGGAGAGGGGGAGGGGAGAGGGGGAGTGCGGAGAGAGGGGAGAGGGGAGAGAGGGGGAGGAGGGGGAGAGGGGGAGAGACGGGGAGAGAGGGGGAGAGAGGGGGAGAGAGAGGGAGAGAGAGGGAGAGAGGGAGAGATTGAGAGGGGGAGAGAGATTGAGAGAGGCAGAGAGACAAAGAGAGGGAGAGAGGGATAGAGAGAGGAGAGTGGGAGGGAGGGATTGAGGGAGAGAGGGAGGGAGAGAAGGAGAGAGGGAGGGAGGGAGGGAGAGCGAGAGAGCGAGAGAGCGAGAGAGGGAGAGAGCGAGAGAGCGAGAGAGGGAGACAGGGAGAGAGGGATTAGAGCTTACAACATCTCCAGCCCAGCAAATCACGGAGAGCAGTCGAGTTTAGGATGGAATGCCCTGTTCTGAGGACGCTGGCTGGTCCATGAACAGGTCAAAGTCCTGATATGCGCTGGAGTGTGTCCATTTATCGAGAAGACAGGGGCGGGGGGAGTTTTCTTCTAGTTATGCGACGTTTGCCAATAAGGAAAACCCTGGCAGGAAAACACATATCGCGCTGCTGTGTGTGTGTGTGTGTGTGTGTGTGTGTGTGTGTGTGTGTGTGTGTGTGTGTGTGTGTGTGTGTGTGTGTGTGTGTGTGTGTGTGTGTGTGTGTGGTGTGTGTGTGTGTGTGTGTGTGTGTGTGTGTGTGTGTGTGTGTGTGTGTGTGTGTGTGTGTGTGTGTGGGTGTGTGTGGGTGTGTGTGTGTGTGTGTCTGTGTGTGTCTCTGTGTGTGTGTGTGTGTGTCTCTGCGTGTGTGTGTGTGTGTGTCCATGTCTTGCTGGTCTCCCGTCCTTGTGGTACTGCACCATGTGTGACAGCCAGACCTTTTTGGTTGCTGCAAAAACTCGTAACGACTCTGCTCAGAGTTATTGGCGAATGCTCTTGTTACCTCCCACCTCCCTTCCCTAGCAGCATTGCGAGATGCTACAGGTGCCGGACCAATAAGATTCGCAGCTCGTTGCTGAGCTGTTCCAGCGTCGGAGTATCAATGAGGTTCACCTGAGCAAGTTTGACTCTTGCTGGCGTGCTCGACGGGCCTCACAATGCAGGATGACGAGCAACAAGAAACTCTCCCTCTCTCGCTACATATACAGTTTTCTGCAAAAGTCAGCTATTCTGTTATTGTGTACTGTAAATCATGGTCCCTGCTTTTGGGGATCCCGCTCAGGGTTCGGGCACGGCCCCTACTAGCTCATTGCGACTCCAGGCTTTAGACCGCAGACTCCTACAGGGCTTGTGCCCCTTCAACAATAGATCACTACGGATTCAGGTCAGGTGCTGCAGGGCTTACGTCGACCCTAAACTTCTCGATTGCCTTGCCGATGCTTAGCCTATCCTGATACAAGTATGGTGCATCTCATCTAAGTCCTAAACCCTAGTGCTCTAGTGCGAGATGGTATGGGTGTTCATCTTGGAAAGCCACGTAAGTGCAAGATACCTCTGTTTCGACAGGCTCCTATCCTTGGGCTCTGACTGTCTTGCAAAGGGGCAGTCTCGCATTCGTCGACCTTTCATGGACCAGGTACATCATACGAGCACGATATTGCTGCGCAACACCAATACAACATGCGGTACATGATACAACTGTCTTTAAGCCAGGCAGTCAATCAATTGCTATCAGGAAGTCAGGTCCTCCGCCCTTCAGATGCCCAGGAACCTCTCCGAAGCGTTTGCTTCCTGGTGGAGAACCTGCGATTCCACACACAGCTCCTGAGGGCACTTAGGCGCAGCTGCAAAAGGTACCTCCTTGATGGCTTGCTGCTCTGTGCAAGCATCGCCAATGGAAAGGACCTTGGGACTATTCGTCGTGACTACTCACGGTCATTCCCCACCGTGCGCATGGACCGTCCCCCCAATTTTCCAGGCAGGGCACGTTCTGTCGCCACTCCGGGTGTCGCCCGTAAAACTTCTCCAAGCATGCCACCATGTCAATGCGCTTGGCCTCGACATAGGGGTCCCGGTCTGGCACCTGAGTAACTACAGCGCTGTTGGAGTGCCAAAAAGCCGCTTCCAGGTCAGCATCTTCACTTGGACCCTGCTCGCACAGCCTGCGAAAAGGAGCTGCTAAACGCTGGTCACCTACGTCATCAAGCTGCGTCGGTGGAAGATCCAAAGGACAGCACGGCCCGATACACAGTGATCCGCAAGGGCTGCATCTTCCGGCACTCAGCTGCCAAATGCTGGTTGGAGCCATTCACCTCGCAGGCGATGGGCCAAGGGCTGTGCTCGCACTTAAAATGGCCGCCCTGCCCCCCCCCCCCCCCCCCCCCCCCCACAACATCCCCAACCCCAACATGCCCAACATCCCCAACCCCAACATCCCCCCCACCCCCCCCCCTCCCTTCCTCAACCCCAACACCCCCAAACCGTCCACGCGAACAGCCCTCCCGCGAGTTCTGGCCTCTTGGAAGCGATCCCCAGGCTGCACTTCCTGGTCTGGATGCTGCTTGTTCCAAGCGTCCATCAAGCCACCATCCTTAGGCGCCAAGGGAAGCGGGGAGGGTGGACTGGGGGCTTAGGGGCCTTCAATGCTCTGAAGGCGTTTAAGGCCCTTGAGAGCTCAGAAAATCGGCGCCTCGATGCGTGCAACGGCCAACGAGCCGTCGAACTCCGGGATGATGTCCACGCCTCAGGGCATAACAGGTTCAAGTTCAAGCCATGCGAGCATTAGCTTTTTAACCCTCATGAACTGTGATCTCATGCGGGCTCGTGCCACATATGCCACGCTGCTACTTCGTTTGTTCGATGCCAGTGATATCCAGTGATGACAAGTTTGAGTCTTAGGGGGTCCACCGATGCGACCACCAGAGGAACGATCCAGGTGGACGTCCCACTTGTTCACCTCACGATTGAGACTGCCTTGACACATTGTCTGATGAACTGCTGAAGCTGCTCGCCTTGTAGGTGACGGATATGTTTGGCAGATGCCTGCGAGCATAGTATATAGGCCTCGAGCACCGGGATATGTGTCGGCAATCAATTCCTGAAAGCCCCCCGCAAGAATGGCCCGGGTCACCACAAGGCTCCCACACATCCAATTCCTGGAGAAGGCCCTCCAAGTCAAGTCCTGGAAGGTACCGGGCCTGGGGAGGCAGTCGGGGCTTGAGATTAGGGCGTCTCAAAGCGGGCTCCTGATGTGGATGACATGACGTGACATGACGTGACACAGCTGTATGTGTGTATATGTATACACTGTTTTACACATCTCGATATACGTTTACCACTGTGGCTTCCTATGTTTTCCTGCAAAGGCCAGAGGCCCATCTTGCACCAGGCTTGGATCTTTGTTAGCAGAGCTCTAAGCCCTTGGACAGCGCCCACTCTGCAAAAAGGAACGGCCGGGCTTAGGCCGGTACTGAGGATGCCTCCACCCAGGGGCTCAGGGAGTTGGACACCTTAACAGTCCACTTGGGTCTATATTCACGGTAGAATTCAGCTATTTGGAGAACAGGAGTCGGTGACATTCTTTGATGAAATCCCGACACCGAGGCTGCCGAGGCTCAGGCAATCGCCACACGGGCCACCTTTCGTGCCGCTCGCACCAGAAACCCCACAAGATGCGCATGGGCAGCGAGCGTCGCCTGGCGGGCATGTCCAGGACACGTGCATGGGCCTTGGGCCTTGGGCCTTGGGCCTTGGGCCTTGGGCCTTGGGCCTTGGGCCTTGGGCCTTGGGCCTTGGGCCTTGGGCCTTGGGCCTTGGGCCTTGGGCCTTGGGCCTTGGGCCTTGGGCCTTGGGCCTTGCGCCTTGGGCCTTGGGCCTTGCGCCTTGGGCCTTGCGCCTTGGGCAGTAAGACAAGGCACTGATTCATCAAACAACCCGGAATCATCCAGGGAAAGCCTATTTTGGGATTCCGCCCGTTGCGCGACTAGCTTTTGAGCTACAAATCTCAAAAAGGCACCCGGAACGGCTCTGGAGCGCACAGCTGTGGCAACCATAGCTGCCATATGCTGCAACGGATCTTCAAATTCCGGGGTTCATTACCGGAGGATAGTCGTCCCTCGACAAAGTGCTTTCCGCATGATGAACCCCCAAATTGCAATCCGGTTCCATATCACATGGTAGGATGTAATTAGGTGGCTTTCAGATTGCCCAGCACTACCGAAGTGAGTTCTGCACCCCGGCATGCATAAAGATCTGACAAGAATTTCCCTGGCAGCTACCCTCCCTACCGCCTGGTGAGGCGAAGACTCTGGAATAACTCCAGCGCGATCTGGGCAGGTCGTAGGATGGTGCGTTGTGCTGTGGGGATGAGGCGACTTCGGAATGTGCCTTCCTCAGGCAAAGAGGGAATCACCGTGTTCAGGATGTACCTGTGACAAGGTCCAGGCGATCATGGCTGTTGACGCTGTACTAGGAGTACCACTTATGCTACGGGATGCACCTAGGAACGTGCCGCGCAATCTCAGAAAAGGGCACGTCGTGGGGAGCAACGTGTCATCCCAATCGAAAATGATGACGGCGTTCTCGGGATCCTGGAAGCCAGGATCCGCCACTCCTGTCACAAAAAAACATGCAGGGCTTGGAGGCTTCGAGTTGAGGTTTTAGGGAAGCAGTCTGCGTGTGTAAAGGACTGGCCTAAGTCGTTGCCCAGGAAGTCTTGGATGAACATCATCTCAGAACAAAAGCCCAGAGCTTCTATCACCCGACGTGCTGCCGCGAAGCCCAATGGATACTTTAGGGGATAGGATTAGGGGGCGCCTTGGGGATATAGACCCTCTGAATAAGGTCCCTGTTTAAGAGAGCCAGAAGAGGGTTAAGAAGGGGTTCCCTTTAAGGGTCCCCCTTATGCTACCTAGGATACTTGTCGGCATGAGCCCATCTAGTCTTGTCTACTCAGACCTCGTTGCTGACCTGCTGGGACCCTCGCAAACTTCCTGGCCAGGAGCTTGCCATTGCAGTCGCCACAGGCCTGTTCGGATGTGTCTGAGGCTGTACTTCAGCTTGAGTTCCGGGACATTCCGGGACACCATCGTACGCACACAGAACATGCGGTGCATGCAGCTGTAGTCAAGAAAGCACGGAAGGAAACAAAAAAAAGTAGACATCACTCAGCCGCCTGGAAGCATGATGGCGCTGGGCTGAGGGACGGCGCTCCCGTCAGTCCCTCCTTCGCTGGTTTGGGGCATGGAGGGTTTCAGTTTGTGATATCACGTTCTGGGCGAATTGAGCAGTTGAGGGGTTTAGGGGGTGCGGGGTCTGTAGATATTTCTAGTGCACAGTACACTGGTCTCTCCTCTGATGAGGCCTTCGTGGACTCCAGTGGCAAGCTGTTTGCTTGCAGGTCCGGCGAAGACCTGGGCCAGCCGGGTCGGCCCATCCCTGACAACAGCACAGAGCACTCTCGCCTATCACTCAGCCATTCGGTACAGGTAGCTTCCCCACTGATTCTAGGGCCCTGGCACTGCTGTGCGGACTGGCGCCCCAGAATGTAAGGAGATGTCGCACCGACCGGCCTTCAGTGCTGGCAAGTGCTGGAGATGTCCATGAAGGGCGCAAACAAGCTTGTGAACTCAGGCCCGCTCAATGCGATGAACCTGCCGTGAAAGCACTCTTGATTCGAAGCACTCGCTTGCTGAGCACACTTTTGGAGTAGTACCGCGCTGCTCACTCTTGCTGTTGTTTCCCTCACTTCTTTCCAGTTTGGTATTTCCCAAGATAGGGGTACCCTCCACATAACCCAAAGCTTCTATAATCCCTGTTCTAGATTTATAGTAGAAAACAGAATAGATTTTGCAATTATTTGCCTGCTTGACAGCCGTTACACGAATTATAGTTGTTGTGTTTAAGTCTTTGAAATTCGAAATGCCACAAAAACGTGATAGAACTAAGAGTAAAGAGTAAAGAGTACAGAGTAAAGAGTAAAGAGCAAAGAGCAAAGAGCAAAGAGCAAAGAGCAAAGAGCAAAGAGCAAAGAGCAAAGAGTCAAGAGTCAAGAGTCAAGAGTACAGAGTACAGAGTACAGAGTACAGAGTACAGAGTACAGAGTACAGAGTAAAGAGTAAAGAGTAAAGAGTAAAGAGTAAAGAGTAAAGAGTAAAGAGTAAAGAGTAAAGAGTAAAGAGTAAAGAGTAAAGAGTAAAGAGTAAAGAGTAAAGATAATAAACGAATATTACATTAACAAAAACGACTCAAACTCACCAAATACAATCAAGAATATCAACCACTTTATCTTTCACTTTTTCTGCAGTGTACAATTCATGTTGTCGCGAACTTGAAGCTCTAAAGATCTGCTAATTTAGCTGTTTTGAACACTTCGATCCGATTGGTTTCAAGCCAACCAAAACGAGGGTTCAACCCTAAACCCTAAACCCTATAGGAACCTCTGCATAGGTCTCTTAAGCCCAAACCCCCTAGCCTGGTAGTTCTCTACATTAGCGGGGTCCTCTGGACGGCACCCATAAAACTATAGACCCCCAAAAGGGGACCCTCGTTAAGAGAACCCCCCATAATATGGGGACCACCCCCCCCCCCCCCCCCCTAAACCCCAACCCTAAACCCGAAAAATGTGGGAACCACCTCCAAAAGGATCCACCCTAGACCTAAACCCTAAACCCTAAACCCTAAACTCTCAACCCTAAGCCCTAAATCCTAATTTCTGTTCGGAAAAGCATCCCCAGTTCGGTTTCTCCGGGTGGCCTTCTCCAGCGCAGCATCACGACGCCCCTGTGCTTCCGGGGTGCGGAATCCAGCCCTTCAGGCAGGCTTAGGGTTTATCGTTTAGGGTTAGGGTTTAGGGTTTAGGGTCTAGGGTCTGGGGTCTGGGGTCTGGGGTCTGGGGTCTGGGGTTTGGGGTTTGGGGTTTGGGGTGTGGGGTTTGGGGTTTGGGGTTTGGGCCGGGTTTGGGGTTTGGGGTTTGGGGTTTGGGGTTTGGGGTTTGGGGTTTGGGGTTTGGGGTTTGGGGTTTGGGGTTTGGGGTTTGGGGTTTGGGGTTTGGGGGTTAGGGTTAGGGGTTTAGGGCTTTAGGGTTCAGGGTTCACGGTTTAGGGTTTAGATCTCCAGAGTGCGCGCTGTTTTAGGGATTAGGGCATAAGAGGCAACAGGGTGGATTACCTTGTTTGTGCAGGATTCCCCTTTGGAAGGGACTCTTTTCCCTACGGCGCATACCTTAAAAAGGACCTTGTAGAACAACCCTCCATGTGTGAAAGCAAGAAAACAAGCACAGGCAGGTCCTGACAGGTCGTGGCGCACCCACTTGATCTTCAAACCAACCTTAGCAGTTCAGAGGCCGAGGCAGCTGAGGCAGCTGAGGCAAGGTCACACCAGGAGATGTCTTATCCCAATCTAGGGCCCCAAGACTCAACTCAGCTGCGGACTGCGCAAGCCTATAGATTCCGTCCGCTCCCTGCCTTCCCCCTCCTCACCTGAGGCGCTCTCTCAGGGCATGCTCAGCAGATCGAGAAACATCTAGAAAACAGTGAGGCGCTGAGCCCAGGGCAAGGCCTTGCGTGCCCTGCTCCGAGGGAAAGCACGCCGGCTTGACCTCAGTGCTCGTCAGCCACACACACACTCATGGAGCAGCCCGAATTGCGAATGCCCATCTATGGTTGTCTCGGGAAACTTCTGTGAAGCCACGTGAAGGAGACCGAGAGCACTAAGCAGGCTGAGACTTCGTCTTACCCATACATACAAACATGTAGGGATTGGTACCGGCTTTTTGTTGCGCCCCTCCGAACTCGAGATGCACCTAGTTTCAACGGTCTCAGCCAGAGAGCGCCGCATGAGGACCAGAAGGAGAATTTGGAAAAGCAATGGCGTTCAAATTTTGAACGAAGACATGCCGAGGAGGATTCTCAGGGAGGATATGCTTTGGTCTGCAAGCTGTGCCGCTGCCATAAAGCTTGATCAGCGGTTGATGCAAGGCCTTAAGCGGTGAACCGTGGAATGCACAGCATGGCCAGTATGCATTCTACACAGCACCCCAGGAAGAACGGCATGGATGAGGCGGGGGACATGTGGGCCAGGGAACTGGAACAGGCCCCGCCCCCACCCTCCCCGCGCCACTGAGCACGCTGCTGTCGACTTCTTCTTCGTCTACGCCGGCATGAAATTCTGAGAACCTGAGCAGTACCAGGGGACGTGCTGCTCTGAAGAGCGACTAGCAAGTCGTGACTACATGAGGTCGAGTTGGCCAATTCTTGCAAGCTCGAAGTTCTGAGGTTCAAAAGTGGACTTCAACAGTGGAGCTCTCAATCGCACATGTCACAGCGCGTCTCAGTTCAGCCGAAGCCGCGCTGGGCAAGACTGTTGGTTCGCCCGGCCCCGCAGCCTGAGATGCAAGGCCCTGGCCCTACTTGGAGGTTCAGAGTACTCATGAACCCAATCATAACTGTACTTATAACCCAAGTAGAACTTTATTAGGGCACTCAATGGGTCATAAATACAGTTCAAACTGGTTAATAACTACCATGAACCTCCAAGTACAGACGCTGTGAAAATACCATGCTGGGCAAGGCTTGGCATGCGGCAACTCAGAAGATGTTGAAGTCGTCATGGCTTCAGCCAACCTGCCTTCCTACCATTGATGGCAGTGATGCTACGACGTGCTGCGAGGTATAGAAGAGGATGGGAAGTGAACCTTTCGGCGATGGTGAACTTGGCTGGCATCTACTCTGCGCACTGCTTCTACAGAATTGTCTGGCTCGATGTGGGTGTCCGAGGACAAGTTCTACGCTGAGAGTCGTTGGAAGTCCAACATCACTATATGTCTGTATGTACACACAAAAAGGTAATAAGACTGTTTACGACCGTGATTGCCAAATGAGCGGACCACATGCAATATCCTGAGACAAATTTGGTTTAAAGCGGCTGCAGTGCCGATATTATCCATGCAAAGACATCGGTGCTGAGCCGTGCTGTCGTTCACACCATGCTAGAGCATGCTGTCGCACCACATGCCAGGAGTCGTCGATTGATTTTCCTCAGCTCTCTTCTTCGAAGATCCATGTCCGAGCGTCCTAATTCAGCCGCCTGTTGTGGATCAGCGAAGAAATTTTAGGCATTCCGACAACGACGTCTTGTCAGTCATCAAATCCATTTGTACAAAGCTGGAAACTGGGAACCTGGAAGGGTTGGGAGAGGGTGGACTTTCAGAATGGCCGGTGAAGCGTGTGGGATGATTGGATGATCTCGTCATCATCCAGCATGAATGAAGTGGCCGTCACCTTGGTTTTTTGCTGCGTGTATGCAAATACATGCGGACTTTCTGCATGTTGCCTCACCCGCTAGGAAGCAAGGAACGGCTCAAATTACATGAGCTACTCATCTCGGGGCCACTCTGACGATTTCATGCACAGCGCATGGCTAAGTCGGCAGCTGGCAAAGTAAAGGACGGCTTTAGTTTGCCTTGTCCAGGCCTCGGGTCCATGCAAGTTCAGAGTCGCCTAAGAATATTTAGGGCAGGTTCAACGAAACTGAAGATGAGTTTAGACAAGAATAGAAGAAACCCCTTTCAACTTTCATTTCAAGGGAGTCTAGGCTGGGAACTCTTTGCCTTTGGACTTCGTTCTCTGCATCTCGCTGACCTTGTGTCGTACGACGTGCGCTCCATGGTGCTCAGTGCTCAGCATATGCAGATGGGGGTTGCCCCGAAAATAGGGGTACCCTTTTGGCGGGCCCCTTTAAGGGGATTCTATTCTATTTGGGGCAAAAAAGGGTTACCCCTATTTTGGGAAATCCCATATCATTGCGGAGAAAAGCTTTGGCAAAGGCGGCAGCAGCACTTTTGGCCTTGATGCCGCAGAAATCCGCCTCCAGCCTCGAAGCAGAAAATCAGAACACCATATCATGGCCAGGGGATGTTGGTGCGCCGCTCGCTTCAGCCGTAGCATCCTGCTACTTCACGCGCTTCCGAGAATTAAAGGCCTGCTTTCAGAGGTTCAAAGCGATCGACATTATTGCGAGTGATTTCGCTGGCCAAGTTAGTCAGACAGCGAGACAAGTACGAGTAGCTCCCCAGCCGGCGAGCCCCGGGCAAGGCATGCATCAGCATCAGGAAGTCTGGAAAGTCCAAGGTCCAGGTCTGAAGCGTGCAAGATGGTCTCCCCGACATCTCATGCGAAGCTTGAGTTAGGGAAAACATGGCCAATCTCCCAAAAACACACATGCTCAGATCCATACTACCATACACCCCCAAAAGGCCTGCAGGTCTTGATTCTTTCTGGGCACGTCCACGTTCTTGTGCCATATCTCTGCCAACTGGAGGACCTGATGTTCGTTACTCCGGTGACTCCGCAATCTGCTGCCCAGCTCAAAAGCTACCGGAGGTCGGGGGGCCTATTTTGGACAATCCCACCAAAGCATGCTAAAGCAAGCGCAAGAATACCCGGTAAGCCCTGCGAGAATCCAAGCCCAATCCATACGGCAGAAACGTGAAAGCGCAGGGAGCATGCAGCTGCGCCGGGACCGCTGCCCGTCGATCACCCATTGGCACGAGAATAGTCCTCCGCTGGGACGCATACTTGTTGCATCATCTCACAACTACAGGCACTGAGGTTGGCGTCCCATGTTAACCGCGGCCGAGGATCAAGAGTGACTGTACCGATTTGAAGGTGATCACGTCTTCGCGATCGCTGTCCTGACATGTCAAATACCCTGCAACGCATTGCGCCGACGGGGACGTTTCAACAAGCAACGCCGCAGGAACATTGGCTCAAAAACACAAAGGAGTACAGGAATGCCTTTGTCTCAGGTGGTTTTCTCCTGCGTTTCTTTCTTACAAACTCATCCATCCAAACATGTTAATACTAGTACTCTTGACTATCAGGGAATGCTGAGGAAGCACGGTGTCACACCTGAGCATGGCCAATTCCAGGGCAGGCAGACATGCTCAAGAAATAGCTCGCGGAAGTCACGGATCTGATGCTTGGTGAAAGGCAGCTGATCAAGGACGTTTTTCTCCTCAGGAAAGCTCATGCATGTGAGGCATGTTGTCCGAAAATCCGACAACTTCTCCCCCACCCATGTTTACTGTGTCTTTTGGATCCTTGATGAACTTTGACAGTCTTTGGCTGTCCTCCAAATCACCTCACCAACATTCAGAAATTCACCAACTGCCGTTCTTTCTGCCGAGTGCGGCTCCATTCGGAAAGTCAACTTGAGAAATACTGAGATTGGCACGCATCAATTTCAGAAACTCGTGGAAATTGAGCTTGCCATCTCCCGAGGAGTCCGTCTGAGCAGCTGCGCAGATAGGACAATGTTTGTCAGCTTGAACCCTAAACCCTAAACCCCAAACCCTAAACCGCCAGTGCCCACCACCTCCTTGACCAAGCGGATGAGCTCTGGCCGAGACTTGGGATCGGTGGCGATCTCTGGCAGCATCTCCTTCGGCATCTCCAGAAGTTCATGTTTAGGGTATAGGGTTTAAGGTTTAGGGTTTGGGGTTTAGGCTTAGGGTTAGGGTTTAGGGTTTAGGGTTTAGGGTATAGGGTTTAAGGTTTAGGGTTTGGGGTTTAGGCTTAGGGTTTAGGGTGTAGGGTTTGGGGTTCTCCGATATCGGGGTTTCCGATAGTAGGGGCACCTTATGAGGGCCCCATTACAAGGGAATCCTACTATTCAGGGATCTTCATAACCAAATGTTGTTCCTTTCTTTCTTTCCTTCTTTCCGTCTTTCTTTCTTTCTTTCTGTATGTATGTATTGAGATCTTTCTTTCGTCCTTGTTTGGGTCATTTCTTTCTTTAACTATTTCTTTCTTTCCTTCTTTCCGTCCTCTTCTTCCTTGATCCTCGCCCGTCTCGGGCCCTCTCTCTTCGAGAAAGAGAAAAGATGTTTTACTCGCATAACGGGCTTGGAATGGTTTTGATATCCTTCCAATATTTCCCCACCTTCGGTGTGGGGTTGTTAGATTTTGAACTCAACTCTTCTCCTCGCCCAGTCTACTCCGAGAGTCTCCCTGGAGTGCCCAAGCCCAGAGTCTCCCGGCAGTGCCCAACCCCAGAGTCTCCCTGGAGTGCCCAAACCCCAGAGACGCCCTGAAGGTGGGGATGTTCGAAGTAAAATAATTGTGCTTGCTTTCTTTCTTTCGTCTCTGTTTCGGTGCTTCAATTTTTGTCCTTTCTTTATTTCATTCTTTCTTTCCGTCCTCTTCTTCCTCGATCCTCCCCAACCCAGGCCCTCTCGCTTCGAGAACGTAGAGGGTTTCCAAGTACACAACATCCCGAAAATAGAGGTTGTCCGCCTAACAATAGCGAAAAATCAAAGTTTTTCTCCTAAACAAAGAAGACAATAGAGGTTGCCAACCCCGCCCCTACCCACCGAAAAAGAAACTCGAAAAAAACGACTTCGCAAAAAACACACACTCCCCCCCCCCCCCCCAAGAACGGACCCGAACTTTAGAGAACCACCCATAGATAACCATCTAATGTACACCCAGTCCGGACCTGATTGCGCTGGATCGTGTTTGTGAGTGATAGGTCATGACATCCTAGGGGATATAGACTCCCCAGTCTGCATTCCTCACAAATGCCCTGCGGCTACGTGCGGCTCGTACTTGATGGTAGTTTCCTGAGATTCGCATGAAAACCCTAAACCCTAAACCCGAAACCTGAAGGACACCAGCGGCTTCCTGACAAAGGAGACGAAGCTCGCTGGCAGAAATTGTCCCGCTGCCGTCAGAGTCATACGTGGAAAACCTGCGGCTGCCACAGGGGGCTTACATCGGGGTTTAGGGTTTAGGGTTTAGGGCCAAGGTTCGAGGGTCCGGAGGGCCGAGGGTATCGCAGACTCGAAATGTCAGTGCTAGAGCGAAATTCAGAGGACATCTGCACTCAGCGCGTTTCAGGGGCGGGATGTCCAAAGGATGCTTGCTGCTGGCACCCACTCCTGCACTGCATGCCCTCAACTTCCTCTGCGCTGAAACCCTGGTGCTGCTGTGCAAGCGCCTTGGTTCCCAGAAAAGTGTAGGGAAACAACGATGAAGCCATTGTGGACTTTAGCACACGGCAAGCGATGAAGCGCTGGAGATGCTGTGACGCCCAGAGCTCAGTTCGAAACTCGCATCTGGCTACGCTTTGACACCGCCATCCGGAGCACACCGTACCTTCAAAAGGCTCTGTAGAGCGCAGTGCCATGAACACCGTCCAACCAGCCCTTCAACAATGGCACCTTTGATCGTCTTCCCGAGCTTTGGCCTGCGATAAAATTCACAGAAGCCTTGGGAAGGGGCTTCACCATCCTCCCTTGCCTTGTCGGTAAAGGCCCGGCCCATGCCCAAGAAGGCCATGCTGTGCTGGGCCCTGCAGCGAGCCACATGACTGGTTAGGGGAGCCCCGAGTTATCTAGTTTCACGCCGACCAACTCGCGAGATATCGACCAAGTTGCAAGAGTGAACATGCCCCAAGACCCTTGAGAAGGAAGAAGAAGCAGAAGAAGGAGAAGAAGAGAAAGAAAAGGAGACACGGAGGGAACCGGGGTGCTGTCTTGTGCAAAGGACTTCAGCCCAAACCACCCACGAGAAAGCGGCCGATGGCAGGCTTTGTGGGGCAGAAAGCTCGCTTGCTCTGCACCAATCTATTTGTCTTTGTTCCCGTTAAGCAAATGTACAAAGTGTTCTTGCAAGTCAATTTCGTGCGTCAAAAAAAAACTTAGCTCGGACTTGACAGTAGTAGTCTCACATTGAGGCTCTGATTGAGCACCTCAAGCTACGCAGCTCTGTCTCTCTCTTCCACGGTGCATGGGCACAAGCACCTGAGAACCAAGGCTAGGACGCTCGTTTGCTTTCATTGGTGGGATCAGCTTGACCAGCTAGACCAATCCTGACAATGCAGATGACAAGGCGTGCCGCTAACGAGCCGCTAACGATCCATCATATGACCTACTGATGAATAAAAATTGGCCACGGCGTTTACTTGCTCAAGTCTCACAGTGGCTTGTGCATTGCAACATGTCAAAGGCCTGAGGAAAGACGCGCGTATCTCCTCTAACTCCTGCTGTCGATGGAGTCTCACCTGCAGTGCTCTGCAGGCGTAAAGCTAGTTTCAGGGCCTTGCAGAGAGCTGGGAGCACTGGGAGCACGGCCAATTTCAGGAATTCCGCCAGGCTGATGCTCCCCGCATTGCTGACATCTACCTGCACAACGGCCCCCAGACCTCAAGCCCAACTTGGGGGTGGGTGGGCGCCTTGGAGAAAGTCAGTTGGTGTTCTTCGTGCGAGGAGCGGTATCCAAGCCAAGTCAATGCCCTGGCGGAATCGTATGAACCTGGCTAGCCGGACGGATGATCAAGGAAAAAGGGTCTGCACCGTGCTAGTATGCCTCATTCTGGGCTTTTCCCAAAATAGGGGTACCCATTTTATACCCCAAATAGTACAGAATCCCCCTAAGGGACCCCCCAAAAAAGGGTACCTCTTTTGGGAACGCCCCTTATGCCTCTTATAACGCATGCCGGCAGCTCTTATGAACATCGTATCTGCTGGGCCAGGTGTCTGAGCAAAGCGGTTGTAGTGCTCCTGACGCAAGCAGCTCAACCCGAGCATCATGGAGGCGCAAGGGATGCCACATGGATCCTTTCTACTAGTAGTACTCAAATCGGGTCCAAGGGTTGAAAATCCTGGAAACGGGTGGCCCTGAAAATCCCTGAAAGAGGTTCTCTCTTTTCTGGCTCGAAGCCGTTAGGTTGCTCGAGCTGCTAGGGCATTTGCGCAAGCAGACCATCTGTCAGCACGCCGTCCACCATGCAAAAGACTCCAAACAGCATACTCAACAGGTTAACTACAACCCCCCCCCCCTTCCCCCAATCCTGGCCTGCAGTTCGGCGGCCTCTGCCCGTGTAAAGCCCTCCCGACATCGATACACCTGCTCGCGAAATCAGGCACCCTAACATCCTCTTCTGGTTCCTTTCCACTAAAGCTTGAAATTAAGGCAAAACATGGGCGCGCCTCAAGAAAGCGGTATGCTTCCGAGAGGGTGACGGTGGACTGGCACAGGAGACTCCCCCAGCTTTCCACGCACTAAGCAAACGCACCAGAAAAACACTGCCGCAACATGTCGGACTCATTCGTCCAAGCACTTCCCCACCCCCCACCCCCCACCCCACTGTGGGTGCCTCCACTTTAATTCCGGGCAAAGCAACAAGCTAAACTGCTAAACGTCAACCTCAAACTCCAGATGTTAACCAATGCAACTCCTTGATCGTTTCCGGCAACGAACCAGCAAGCGACAGCCTGCCTGCCTAATATCCCGAACCGCTTGCAAACCACTAGTATTATCGTATGAGCATGGCAAGCCACCTACATTGCTAGTTGCAAGCCGCAAGCATCGTGAGCCTTGTACGTTGGGGTGGCACTGATTGCACCAGAGGGCGGCTTCACGGAATTGGGCATGCACATCTGGACGAGGCTGGCGCGACGAACCCTTGGTGCAAAGCACATGTGGCACGTAGATCAAATGCACTCAAAGCCGCAACGAGGGTCTGGCAGGTCCGACATGTGTGCAGCCAGTTTATGTGTTGAAAAGAACCAACGCGCTAAGCCACACGCGTTGGCTTGGCAAGGTTGATGTTGCTGTCGATTGCAGCATCACGGACAGCCTCTACAAAGCATATCGCAAACGTCAAATAGACGTGCTGAAACAAAATGACATCCTGCAACCGTGCGTGCGCACAAACTCGATTTATTGTCAGTGAAGCTTCATCATGCATGCGGGCAGCAGGAGAAACAACTGCCAGCAATTGGCGCAAGTGTCCAAACCATTGATCAGTGCCTCTTTGTCCGGCACGTAGCCCATGATCCGAAGCAATCCGGTTAACAAATCCTGCTGGCAAAAAAACGAGCACTGGCGAAGCTGAGGCTGTAGCCTTGGAGGCAATTGTTTTTTGTTTTGGGATCTTAATGATACTGGCCGTAGCCCTTGCAGTCCTCCTTGTCTCCAGCTGGCAGACTTGACAGCCGCTCCAACTCATCCTCACTTTGTGCTGATGTGGCAGGCAAGGAAACCGAAATCTACATAACGTCCGCCTCCAAGCGTTGCACCTCTTGATCGCGGATTTTCCTTCAGGGTCGGGGGGAACTGAACGACTCCGGATCGGCACATCATCTCTGGGCCCTTCTTTGCGTTGCAGCATGCTGCACAGCGTCCGCATGAAGATCAGGAACTCCGAGAAGGACAGCGCTCCGCTCCCATCCACGTCCACCTCCTCCAGCATGCGGTTCGCCGCCTGCAGGTCGATTTTTTGCGCGCCCCCCCCCCCCCCCCCCCCCGAACAACTTCTGATGTACCATGTGTTGCACCTCCAAGTTCATTTCGTATCCCAAGTAGCCCAGGATAGCCTGCAATTGCATGGTAGCATTATCTCGGCAACTTCGTGGCACCTGCAGCGCGACATGCTCAGCATGTGACCAGGAGCTGATCGGTTTCAAGCGCGCCCGTTTGCTCGTCGTCATAGAGGTTGTAAGCATGCTTGAACTGGCATGACAGAACTTGATGCGTGCAACTTGTGATCGCATGTCGCCCTTACAGGGCCCCTGTACAGACACTCTTTGGGGTCATATCATTCTTGGATGCTTTCGACACTCTCTCAACCGAATTTGTTCGATGATCGATGATGGCAGCACCCGAGTGCTGCTCAGCTGGAGCAGCAGCTTATCGGCACTTGCTCGAGGCGCATTTGCCAATGTCACACGAGAGGCGGTGAAGTGACATGCCAGGGCCGCGCGCTCATACTCTGCCTTGGTGAAGCCTTCCCGCTCGTTGATGACCGCCAAGACAGAGCAAAATTCACCCAGGTCCAATTCCTGAATCAACGAACCATGTAGAAAGATAAGCAAAGACAAATTGTGTTTCAAGCCACGAAGTAGGATGGCAGGACAAGCGAGAATCAGAACCCTTGAGGCGCAAGCCCCGGAGTTGTCCAAGTCATGCTCTGCCGTGAGCTCTGAAATGACCTGGCTGCACGAATGCCAACGTGGTGCCATGATTTCCAGGGTGCTTCGTATTTCCCATCTGTTTTGCTGACCATTTGAGGCGAATGCAGGACAATGGCCCCATGTGGCCCCTCTGTCCCGCGATGTTGAGATATGCTGAGCTCATGCTCGAGAACAATCAATCCTTGAACTAAGCTCCTTGAGTGAAATACGTGATCTCCCAGGAAGTTGGCTTCTCTCCGCGGCACGAAAACGACTTCAGCTAGACACGAAGCCTTGACATGTGCGCATGCAAGCCGCTGACTTTGCCTGATCCATCGGCGTTATGCCAATCTCTTCGAGCAGACTCGTTAGCTCGGCAGCCTAGAGCACAGCAGCGGGAGCTGAGCAGAAGAGTCAGCAAGGGCACGCGCAAAAGCCCCAGGCCTCAATGCTTCCAGAACCATCGCGATCATAATGATAGAAGGCCTTCTCATACTCCAAAGATTGCTTTTCCAAGTAGAGCTTCACCTCCACATCACATGAGGCGTAACTTCTCTCGTACAGTAGAAAGTTGAAAGGCTCACGTGGCTCACCCCATGACTCAGGGTGCTGCAAGTCGCAGGTACTCGTGGAAGTTCAGGGTTGTATATCTGGCACGGCTTGTCGGGCGGTGGTGTTTTTCGGGGTCCCAAGATGTGTATTCTATACTCCCCTTAGAACCTTAATAAAAAAACGTTTTTAATATCCTCTTGGGTTATATGAACAAAAACAAACAAATTTCTCAGGGGGGATGTAGTATTGAAGGTGTTGACAAGGCAGGCTGGAGTCATGGCTTGGTGCGTGGCCGGGTAATGGAATCGAGAATGGAGCTCAGCCAATCCTCACGCGCATGGCGGATGCCTTAATGCGACAGGCGAATCTCGGCAAGGGAACAGGCTAGCCACACCTGCGCTACTGAAAGAACCGGGTCACGAGCGAGCACGCTCGGAAACCATGAGCCAATCAGAAAACTGATCGGTTGGGAAACTATGCCATGCTGATTCCGAACACACGCCCACACAAACACACACCCACACAGCCCCACACACACACACCCCCACACACACACACACACACACACACACACACACACACACACACACACACACACACACACACACACACACACACACACACCCACACACACACACACACACACACACACACCCACACAACCTGGTTTCAAAGGGACAGGCTGGGGACCTCGAATCTGTTCTTGGGGGAAGTGCGCTGGGGAAACGATGGCTTCTGAATCTCGAGCACTGATCAAAGAAATTCCGTTTCTGACATGGGGTGTTTGCTGATTGGGGCACCATGGCTTCGTGCTTCAGGAACTTGGCTACTAATTTGCGGCAAAGCTGCTCATGTCTTAATATTACTTGCAGTTTCTGTTTGTCATCGAGGGGTGTTCTGGGCAAAGTTGCCAGAATCGTTTCAAGCTAGCAATTTGGGATGGCCAAGCAACGCCTATGTAGTTTAGCCCTCTAAGACAGTGGCCCATGAGCTCCAGTGCCGTTTCAAGCGAGTCTTTGTGAACCTCTGGCCAGGTAAAGCTGCATATTTTGGGTGGCCAGTCGTTGCTTCGCAATTGGGACGTTCCCCTTATCCTAACGGTCTTTAATAAGGATTCTAGTACCTCGGACTGTCAGTCTAAGAGGGAACATCCCAACTTGGCAAGTATGAAGGCTCCAATTGGCACACTTCGCCTCTCCGTCATTCGCGAGACGGCTGAAGACCTGCAGCAAGCCAGTTGAAGCTAGTTGAATAGGCCACCCGCTCTGCGCTTCTAGATGTATATACATAAAACGACATAAATAAAGATTTAGGGTTTAGGGTTTAGGGTTTCGGGCTTGAGGCCCTGAGCGGGGGGGCGAAGCAGGAGTGGCCACAGGAGGGCAGGGGGCTGCCACACCAACATGTTGGGGTGGGGGCAGGGAGGGAGGGGGGGAGGCGGCTCTATTTTTTTATATATGTATACATACATACATACATACATACATACATACATACATACATACATACATACATACATACATACATACATACATACATATATATGTATATATACGCATACAAATACAGACATAGGGATGGGCATGTATGTGCATACATATACTGTATATATATATATATATTCTTTACTTTGAATTGAAGTTGTTATGCTTCTCATCGCCTTGTGGATGACATCCTTGCGTGGCATCATTCTGGCAGCTGGGCCAGTCATGATTTCGTCTCCTGCATTCAGTACCCACGAGACCGATGCAAGCTGCGTGGGCCTTTTGAAGCCACTTGCAACAATCCTCCTCCCAGGGAGTGCGCGTCACCCCCCTCTGTTGAGGCACCTGTCTCAAGTTGGCACAGAAGCAAGGGAGTGATATGGTGTGCCAGCACTTCCTGGCCCTGAACCCTAAACCCTATAAACCCTAAACCCTAAACCAGTGCCTTCCCCACCGGAGTGTTGCGCGGAGCCCTCTTTGTACAAGGACGGGTCCCGCATGACGGTGGAGCCGCCTGGGCCGCGGCAAAAGCGTTGAAAGGAAACAGCATGGTGGCCCAAGACTTGCAGAAAACGCAGCTGTCAAAAGTTCCAAAGCCTGTTTTATTTATCAAGCCCATAATACAAAGCATCGGCAGAAACTTTCACGTAAATATCTCATCATGTACCGGCACAATGGCAGAAAACACGACAGACATAATTAGTGTAAATATAATTATATAATTATATAATGATATAACTATAATATAATTATATAATTCTATATTTATATGATTATATAATTATATATGATTTTATATAATTATATGATTATGTATATTGGCATATTTATCATTATATATGTGTATACAGATGAATAGATAGATATATATATATATATTGAAGGTCCATGCACTGACCCAAAGAGCCCAACCATGCTCACTTCGCGGCGAGGTTGGACCATGCACTGCCTGAGCAGATGGCCGCGTCTGTGACTGCTTCAGGGGCGATGCTTCCAAGGCAGCTCAATCGGCTCTGAAACGGGCCCTCAACCCCAAACTCTAGACCCTTTTGCAGCAGGCTTGCAGAGGGTCCTCGCCTAAACCCTTTTTGCATCCGGGCTTGGGCAGTCGGCCGGAACCCTAAACCCTAAACCCCAGCATCTAGGTTTCGGGTTTAGGGTGTTCTTGGCCTCAGCGTTCAGGAAATCAAGGCTGGTGGAGTGCTGCTTGGTCTTTCATCCGGACGGACTGGTTCTTCATGCTCCGATAAGGGTCATGTGATAGTAGTAATGTTGTCCATTTCGGGGGCTGGGGTCAAACAAAGAATGCTTGCCATCGCTGAGGCTGCTGTCCAGATTCTATAGGGTTCGGGCTTTGCGGGGGAAAGTCTGTGTCAAAGATCCCAGTTCGCTGCGACGATTCACAACAGCTGTGATCAGAAATGGCGTGAAGTCATAATTGCGGTGCTCCCTTCCCTGACGCCTCTGTCAGAGCCTTGGCCGCAACTGTACCTGCAAAGCAACACAACACAGTCTGGAAGCGAGAAGTCGTGTAATTTCGGCACCAGAAGCTGAAGACTGCAACGTCTGTCACGGAATCACATCCGATTCAGACCCAGACCATCGTTTACTTGGATCATCAAGGTCATTCGCTTCTCCTGAGCAGACTGAGGCGATGCACATCACACGCTGCATCGAAGATATTGACTTGCTGCTTTTCCTCTGAGCCTCCAGCAGGCGAGGGTGAGAACCCGAAAGGTCTGTCTGCAGTCTGCATGATATCGACGAACCTGGAGACATGAAAGTTACAGCCTCCCATGGACTACATCCAGACACCTGCCTTCATATAAAGTCTTGCAGAGGCACCGTAGGCACAGGATTGCTCACATGAACGCATCCAAGTCACTCAGGCTCCTGTGTGGAACGCCTTGACGTTCTTGATTTGTCATCACTGCCAGAGGAAGCTTTCCGCACCGGAAGCGGACCTGTAGCAAACTGAGCCCGAACTGGCAACGCTTGCATGGAGCGCTGGCGAACCATGTGCCGCAAAAAACCACTGGCTTGAAGAAAGAACAAATAGGGCTTATAGGGCTTTTATAGGGTTTAGGGTTTATTTATAGGGTTTAACCGACAGGGCCTTGAAGGGCTTCCTCCAACTCCTCCAGCTCTTCGTCCAAGTTCCGCCGGGTCGGAGCCGAGAGCGGCCGCGCCACTGGCCGCGCCGGGGGTGGAGGCTTTGGGAAGTTGAGCTGGACATCGCTTCCTGGTCGGGTTTAGGGTTTAGGGTTTAGGGCCGTTTAGGGTTTAGGGTTTAGGGTTTAGGGTTCAGGGTTCAGGGCTTAGGGTGAAACCGGATACGGGACGTAGAAAACCGAGCCGGGAAGGGTTCCAACCGAACCGTGTGCGAACCGTCACCGGTTCGTCAAAGGGTCGGTTCACTTGAAACCGTACCGAATGGAGCAATGGTCTCCCTGTGCTTATATAGCTAAGGACTCTTCTTAGGAAGTGCTTAGAAGCCTTTGCGTGCTAGAGGACTGTCTACCTGCACCTATGCATGCAAAGATCTGCATGTGTCTACATATGCAGCAGGCATGTATGTCCGTAACATTACGAGTGGGAGACACACACACACACCCCACCTCTATATATATATATATATACATATACAAACATGTTCTGAGCGTCTGTGTTTCCAGCTTTGGACCCCGCCTTCTCCCCACAGGGGACGACAAGCCATGCGAGCGCGGACGCGCGTCTTCTGGTAGGACGACACCCAGTCTTGCATCAATGTGGTGAAGCAAGGGGACTTCGAGCCATGCCCTTTCTCGGCCACGTGTGTTTCCAGAAACTGCTGCTGCTGGAAAAGGATGCTGATGCCCTTGTCTGGGCAGCTCGTTGCCGGCATCGCGGATGCAGGACGTGGACGCGCCGAGGCGCAACTGCTTTGCCGCATCTCCAGGCACATGGGGGCCGACTGCGGCCTGATGCCACGGTGAGGAGGCACGGGCACCGTCCCCGAAGCCGCTTTTCCAGGCGCAGGTCTGGCAGACGAGGGCCTAGCAGAGGAAGGCCTGGAGGAAGGCCGGCTGGATGAAGATCTAGCCGACAAGGGCCTTGCGGAGAGCCTAGGCCCCGCAGACGAAGGCCTAGGCCGGGGCCTGGGTCTTGCAGATGAGGGTCTGGCCGAGGATGGTCGTGACACATTCGCTGACGATGGTCTTCCGGACCCGCCCCGCGCCCCCCTCACTGCGCCAGCCGAACATGGCCGTGCCTGTGCGTATGGCGACTTGTACTGGATGTCGCGAGTGTAGTGCGCAGATTGGGGGCGATCCAAGGGCAAGCGCCGAGGACCATCCGGCCATGCCGAGCGGCTGAACTCACCTGAGCCGAGCCAGTCTGTCCGAGCAGGTTTAGGGTTTAGGGTTTAGGGAAAAAAGGGTTGCTCAACACACTGCGAAGAAGAGTGGTGCGCCTCGCTGGCCACGTCTGGGTGCAGGGGGGCGGCGGCGTGCCACCGGTGGCGGGCAGATCTCAGCACCTCCCAAGTTCTCATGTTTAGGGTTGAGGGGTTTAGGGTTTTTTTTGGCACCCGACAAGCCACAGCACAGCGGGGTTTGAAGGTAGGTCTCGGAAAACTTGAAGAAACCCAAGAAGGTTTAGGGTTTATAGGGTTTAGGGTTTAGGGTGCTCATTAACAATTCTAACTGTACTTATAACCCTACCAACATCATGATCTCAAATGACACTGCAGTTCTGGGCGCCAACCCTGAAGTCTCATAACTTAGCACAAAGGTTGCAAAACTGCCTCAACGTGTTTGACGCAAAGCTCTCCTGGTCTCTGCTTTCTGTCCACTTTCCGTTTCTGGGTTGCTAAGGGTCTTCTTCTTATTCTTTTTGTTTCTTCTTCTTCTTCTTCTGCTTCTGCTTCCGCTTCTTCCTCTTCTTCCTCTTCTTCCTCTGCTTCTTCTCCTTACTCTTCTTGTTCTTCTTGTTCTTCTGCTTCTTCTTCTTCTTCTTTTTCTTCTTCTTCTTCTTCTTCTTCTGGGCATTGGGGCCGGGATTTCCGCCTGGTAAGATTCCATGATAACACTACTAAACCACCAAACATTCGCCATAGAGCACACAGTTCCCCGCTCAGTGGTTGCATCCGGGTAAAGACACGCAGTCCTGCGTCAATTGGGGGTCATGATACCCCGCATGTTTGGATACCCCGCCGGATTGCACCTGACTCTTTCTCAAGAGGAACTTCTACAACGACGCCTGTTTGCCGGCGGCAAGCGGCACATGCGGTGCTCAAAACGACATGTGAGTTTCCCCCGCCAAACGGCACATGCAGTGGTGTTTTGAATCTATATGCCTAACTTCCGGGTTCGCGCTGAAACAAAGCGTCTAACTTCAACTCTCTCTTTCTTCTTCTACTCAGCGAAGGGGCCCGATTTCTCTCTCTAAGTCTCTGTCTCTCTCTCTTGGTGGCTCTCATAAGTATATCGTCCTAAGATTCTTTCAAGTGTTCCTCATTCTTCCCGTGCTCTTCCACAGCGTCTGAGTGCCTCTTCGCCGTCTTTCTCTGTCCATCCGTGTCTGTGAATCTCAGCAGAGTCTCAGCCCGCGACTGCCGCATGACGACTGCCGGCAGATGCTCGGGCCTTTCCGGGAATTGAAGTGATAGGGTGCCGCACGCTTTCTACACCAAGTACACCAAATCCCGGGATGGGGAAGCATGGGCAAGCAGTACTGCTGGGCTTCCAGCTGTCCACAGTTTCTTCTTCTTGCACAGAAGGAATATCTGAGAGCCTGGGGGGTGGTAAAGCAGGCTGAGCTCTTTCAAAAGCCTAGCATCATGACATTCAGGCAGTTGCCTGCCTTAAATAGTCACAAAGGTGGACTTCAAAGGCGGAGTGCTCATGTCTATTCGAAGCCGAGTTGCGCGGAGCAAGACTGCTGGTTCGCCCGCTTCCGCAACCTGGGTGTCAATGCCCTACAGCGTGCGCGTGGGCACTGTGACAACTGCATGTGCATCCACCACTCTTCACTCGCTCTTCACAAAGCATGCGACAGCTCAGAAGATGTTGAGGCCGTCATGCCGTACCATCCCAACTAATTCCCTGCTTGCCCGCTTACCGTTGATGGCAGTGACAATTGCAGTGGTACTAACATTCTGTTTGTAGGGTAAAACTTAATATAACTTAATGGAAGGTGGAACTCTACCATTCAGCGATGGTGGACTTACTTGGCGTCTACTCTCCGCACTGGTTCTGCAGAATCTGATGGTCCTTTTAGTACCAAAAGGCTCCAAGCCGAGAGCATGCCGACATTTTACTCAAGTAAGTGTAACTTCACTAGGTCCGCCGACGCACCCTAAAGCCATGTTGCCAGAGCAATCAAAAGACGCACATTTTCTGCCGACCCGTGGCAAGCTCACAAATCACAAGTGCATGGCACAAAATGTTTGGCAACCTGCGTGATAATTATTCGGCCAGATCGTCCGAAGCCGAGTTTCAGTATCAACCCATGTCAGGATAAATTAGGTCTTGAGCACTGATCACGCCACACGCTGTTTCTATGGTTGATGCCATCTGTCAGCGGTTCAATGCTTGTCATCCACAGCAGCTACCTGTACAATCCAGAGGAGAAACTCATCGCGCTGTATGCTGTAGACCTGACTCTGAAGCTGTGCTGGTGTCGGCAAGCTTGCAGACCATCATCCGCCCGCTAGGACAGATCGGACATCTTCATGACCGAAGGACATTGCGTCTTCCAAAGGTGTCTTGCCGTGATCGTTTTGCACAGAAAGGTCTGCCCCTCCTTCAACCAAAACTTTTGCCAAGTTCGCACGTCCCCATGCAGCGGCGTAGTGCAAGGGAGTGTCTCCATCCCTGTTGGCACGGTCCAAGCATGGAAGTTGTCTAGTCACAAGAAAAGAGACTAGCTCTTGGTGATCTTGCCGGACTGCCAGATGCAGGGCTGTTTGCCCGAAGTCGTTTTGCAAACAAAGGAAATCGTCTGTAGCATCTTGAAGGAAAGTTTGCACAGAAAGGCGGTCGGAAGGTACTGCAATGCTGTCCCCAGTGTCCGTAAGGATTGGCCATCCGTACGCTACCAAATGAACGTCGGTCCAGCCAATGTCGTTAATGCGACTTTGGTCCAACCGCACAGCTGGATCAGGGCCATGCTGGCTGTCAGCTAGACCCGTGTTCTTGGCAGCATCCATCGTTGGAGCGCATATTGCACAGAAAGTGAAAAAAGGAGCGAGCAGAAGCGCCCACGAACCAGGCGCTGCAAGGGCGGGGACGGGCGGGGACGACATCTGGCGTACATGTGGAATATTGAACTACTTTCGTAGTCACTTGTAGTATACTAGCATCATAACCACAATTTGTTGTCACTGTGGGGCCCAGAGATGTCCAGAGCAAATAGCGCATGACCTGGAATGCTCTGCAGATGCTCGGCTCGGTCAACAAAGTCATACATAGAATTAGTACTGCGTTGTTCTACATGATCGAGTTATGGTGACATGCATGCCGTGGGTCACATTTGTGCAAAAGCTGGCAGCACTTCTGGCATTCAGCAACCTTACTGCACAGATTGCAGAACATGGGGTTGTGACCCCACATACGAAAGGACATGTGTACTCGCACCATAAAGTAGATTTGGAAATAGGGAGTGTTTGAGAATCTTACAACTTCGATCGTATATCTCTATGCTAAAGTTAATATTTGTGTATGTATATAAATGTGTAGATACATATAATATACACCGGTATCTGTATACTTATAGATATACATACACCCCGTACTTGAGGACGGTGGGCACCTTAACCTATCAGCTAGAACTGTACTCTGTGCAGCAGTTAGGGCGTTTTTTTTGGGGGCAATCCTTTCCAGAACACACGCCTGGCCATGGAGTTCTGAATGCTAAGATGCAGCAGTGGGCATGACGAAACTTGCATACGTGAGGAAACATATGAGCGGCTGACAAACCCGTGTTCTGATTGAACTGTGTGCACCATGCCTGGTTGGACCCCCTCGGGTTTTGAGGATTAGCTTCTGTACAGGTACAAACTTACAGTAGCCTGACAGTAGTCAAGGCTGCGCCCATATCGCTTGGCGACGAAAAACACTAACACGCAGAAGGCATGCAACATCAAGACAAGATGGGATCTACAACTGTTTCGTCCGAAGATATCTATATTCGGCCATGACTGCATGGAGTTGCTGGTACTTCGCCTTCGTTCGTTCCATAAGTAGGAAGCGACTCGTCCAGTTGGCCCGCACCGATTTAACTCACTACACCAAAATGTGAGCTTCATGCTGGGGTGTGGCACATTTCTGACCCCATGACGCCAAGCCTCAAGCCTTGCATCATCGGCAGCCCCCTTGCTGGACTTTCTTTTCGAACGAGCGAGCCATGACAAAGCAATCATCACGCTGGCGTCGTACATCACGTGGCCAGGTGAAACATAGCCAACACTCTGCTGCGCTTGTGGCATGCCTCGTGGACCATATGTCAGCTGGGAGCAGCTCTCCTCAGGTTGCATACGAAGGGCATGCGCTGACCTTCCTGACCTTTGCCTCAGCATTCGGAGAATAAAGGTGAACGTCTTTGGGCTGCAGCTGATTCTTGGCCAAGAGTCTGGACCGCCTCACTAGCGGCTCGTACAGCACCCAACCACGCAGCAACTTTGGCTTCGTCCACGGGAAGTCCCGAACTCTCGTCCTGAGACCCGTGCTCGGGCGGAGTGCCGGTTTAAGACCCTAAACCCTAAACCCTTTTGTTTTTTGAATCTGGACTTGCTGAACCCTAAACCCTAAACCCTAAACCCTAAACCCTAAACCCTACACCCTAAACCCTAAACCCACAACTGCAAGGCCAGGCTGCAAGAAATCCTTCAAAGAAGTTGGTCCA